GTAGAAATGAGGCGCTTTGTATGACTTCTTTTACGGCTTGCAGTACATCTTCGTTTGGAGCATCACCATTAGCGAGTTTTGTAAGGAATGTAACGGTTTCCTCAGGGGATTGAAGGTTGTATTCTGAAAGTTGGTAGCAAAAGCTGTAGATTTTTGTTGGTTTCACGGGCGGAATCATATCAAAATCGCTCAAGTTGGGATTTCGCTCAATAATGGCTGAGCATTGCTAAAAAACACGCAAAATCGGAATTCCCCACAATTTTGTAAAAAATATCACAAAAACACTTCAGAACCCTAGCGTAAACTCTGGACTATAGTGGTTGTAGCCATCAACAAACCTTGAGGATGATATCCACCTTGAAAGTGCATACCCGTATTCGCAAAACAAGGTATGCTTAAGTAAAATATACTTTGAGGTAAAGCTTACCCCAAAAAGCGATTCACCTATTCACGAACGTTACCTCAGGGTAAAGGATACCTTAGGTGCTTACCCTCATGATTTGTTGATGGATACGGCCCTGCACTTTTATGATAAACGGATATAAAGAAAAAAGAGCACAGAATTGATAAGTTGAACAAGCAACAAACATTTACCTCTCATTGTTTCGCTCATAGCACTTCTCAAGACTCGCATCCAACATTCGATAATGCGGTCTGCTTCTTTTGCCATTTTCTTGTCTAAAAAACAACCTCTAAGCTAAAAGCAAGATTTTTAATTTTGAAATAATCACCATGAGCAGCCTGGGACTCTAGTGCAGCATTGTTAGCCTGCATTTTCTCAATTGTTCGTTGCATAGCTTCCCGCTCAGCTTCAGCAACACCAATTTCTCTTCGAATTGATCGTAGCTGGGATTCTCTATCTGAAAAAGTACACATCGGGCAAGTACCGAATCAGGAAGAAGAATAGGACATACTTTTATTGTACTCGAGAAACTCGGAACTGAAGATCGATATGTTCGAGTTTGGAATTTTGGGCGCAACGATTGGCTCAGACGCACTGCTCTGAATGACAAAACGTTAAAAAATCTCTCAAAATCAGTAAGAATATCAAAACTACAAACCTTCTCCTTTGGCGGACTTTTCACATTCTTCTTGGGATCTTCCAGCAATGAATCTTCCAAGTCCAGAGACTCGTCAAATTCTTCCTTAGTGTCAACACCCAGCTTTCGTCGTTGCTTTCTCAGTCTCAGTATCCGCTCTTTCTTTTCTACAAGACTCACTAGAATCAGAAAAGATTGATATATAAAGAGTTCTTGGTATAGAAGATCAACTCAAAATGGAGGAAAAAAACTAACAAAATGAGAAAAGCTATAATTACATCCCAATGAGGGGATGCAATGAAAATTAACGGTACGATTTTGTGAAAAGTACAAATAAAACAGAAAAACAGTGTTAAAAATGTCTCAAAGATTGATCAAATGTAGTAAAAAAAGTATTCCAAGGACAAGATTTGACATTAGTAAAA